ATAAGAAACAAAATATGTGTATTCAAAACAAGAAGGCCCCTAAAGGGGATACAAACAAAAGGCGGAGGGTAGAGCTAACCCTCCCCAAAGCTCTATACAATCACCGCTTTCCAATCTTGTGTAAGCAAAAGAAGATTGTAGTTACAAAAAACTTTCTTGTGTAGTATAGCCCACCAAGAAGCTAAATGTTTAATATTCACACAAAAGGAATCGAACAAAATCAACGTATCTTCAAAAAGCCGACAATTCCGTTCCTTTAATATTCACACAAGTTGGGCATGATTAACATATATGCACCAACTTGAGGAGGAGTGTTAGAGTGTATATATTAGTATATTTTACATTCTTGTAAATAATATGTATTAATTTGTCCTTTACCTTCCTCTTCTAGGATTAGGTCAACCTTATATATTGGTCTATATATATATATATATATATAGACTTCAGTAATGAGAATAATCTTTATCTGGTTCTCTCAAACCTTAGTTGCTACATAAGAAAAGCAAAGCTCAGTTGAAGTTTTTCGGGCCAAATTTTTTCAGGAATTCAAAGCTTAGTTTCCATAAGCTAAAGATGTCTTTGCCGAAGATTTTGATGATCAAAATTCTTGAAGCTTTTGTTTTTTGTTCTTTGCAATTAGGAGGCTCTTTTTTAACGTAGTTTTTTTTTTATCTTTATGTCATTTTTTTGCTCTTTTGGGTTTTATTCCGCTTGATTAATTCCTGATTTCCCTTTTCTTTTTTGTTCTTTTTCGCTCCTGTTGGGGTTTTTCTTCTTTGAAGATTTTTGTTCCTTTTCATTAATCTTGTTAAAAAAAAATCCTTTTACGAAAGCATACTAAGATCATGTTAAAGCACATACGCTTGTGAAGTGACCATGTTTAGAACTGTTGGACCATGCTTAAAATTTCTCTACATTTTTTAGATTAATGCCCCAATAACTTTTCAACCCCAAGTAATCGCTAAGGAATAAAGCGTCAATTCAAGTAAGCAAGCAATGCACTTGGCTATAAGGATACGTAATACATACATTGAGCGTAGCCTTTGCAATTCAGATACACGTTGATGATGGGATGTCTCTAGATCTGCTTGAAAAAATAAAAATAAAAATAAAAAGGACCAAGCTTTTTCAGAAATCAATAAAATCAATCACAAGTGCATAGCAAGTCAGAGGAATCAAATCGCTCACCTTCCCCTCAATACTAGATCCTTGGCCAATAAAAACACAAATTTAATTAATTGATTTAAATTTATGAAAGCTCATCAGAAAAGAAACCTGATGTATGAGGGAAATATCAATATGAATGAGAAAGGGAAAGGGATGATATAAGAATACAAATTACAGCGATGTTCTCCCTTTCAAGAGTTTTTCTTTCCTTTTTCTCTTCTTTTTGGGTAAGAAACTGCAAGACTTTTCATTAAAGAACTGAATGATTGGCTTGCCGTTGGGTGGAAATCCGAGGTCTTCTTCCTTTTGGAGCCCAGTTATGGAGAAAATAGAGAAGAAGCTTGATCAACGGAGGTGTACAATCTATCTAGAGGTGGCCGGTTGACTCTATGTAAGTCGGTCTTATCTAGCATCCCCTCTATTACCTTTCTTTGTTTCAAATTCCTTCTGGGATTTGTACACAAATTGAGAGAAAAATGAAAGGCTTCCTATGGAATAGCGGCTCGAATGGGGCTTTAAATCATTTGGTAAATTGGAAAACAGCATCTAAAATCATGGAAGATGGTGGATTGGGGGTTGGGGGCCTCTCAAAGATGAACAGTACATTATTAGCCAAGTGGGGTTGGCATTTCGGTTGCGAAAGTAATGCCCTTTGGCGTCAGGTTGTGGCAAGTGTATATGGGGAAATGATTTCGGATGGTCCACAGGCGAAAGATCTAATGGTTGTCTTAGGTGCCCATGGATCAATATATCTCAGCCATTGGAAGACTTACTGTCAGTTTGTAGTTTTCAAATTGGGCATAGGTTCTCGGATTCATTTATGGAATCATATTTGGGTAGAAGACCGGCCTTTAATGGTCAGATACCCGAAAATCTTTCGCCTTTCTGTGCTTCCTTTAGGGTCTGTTGCGGATTTTTGGGACACAGTCACTATCTTGGAGAATTATTTCTCGCAGGGCCCTAAAAGACGACAAGATCGAGGAATATGTTTCACTTCTGTCACTCCTTAATTTTTATTCTCCTATTATTGGACCAGACAACAGAAGTTGGACCTTGGAGCCTTCAGGTTGTTTTACTATGTCTTCTATCCGCAAGCCTCCTTCAGACATTTCAATGCCACCAGATTTATTTAAAGCTATTTGGAAGTCTAAGAGTCCAAAGAAGGTCAGTTTCTTCACTTGGATCCTTTTAAATGGGAAGGTAAATACAGCTGATGTACTCCAAAGGAAGCTGCCCGGATTTTATCTTGTGCCTTCCTTCTGCCCTCTATGTCAATCTAATGGGGAAAGTTTGTCACATATGTTTTTCCTTTGTCCTTTTGCACGGCATTGCTGGGATTCAATTTTGGAGGAATTCGATCTACCTTGGGTTTTTGGCAACAAAACAGCAGACAACGTTCTTCGGCTTCTCCTTGGGCCATCTTTGAATTCCAAAGCCAACCTCCTTTGGCTCAATGCCATTAAGGCAATGCTTTATGAGATTTGGTTTGAAAGAAACCTAAGGGTTTGTGAAGGAAAGAGGCAGTCTACGACAGTGCGCTTCAATATAGCTAAATTCAAGGCTTCTCATTCGTGCTCTTTATCGAAATTATTTAGAAATTATTCCCCTAGTTTGATTTGTTCTAATTGGAAAGCTTTTATTATATTTCTTTAAGTTTATGTTTTCTTTTCTTATTCTTTTTCACTCTTTCAAGAGTGTGTACCTTTGAACATTATTGTTCCTTTTCATTATTTCAATGAGAAGTTCGTATCTTGTTAAAAAAAACAAAAACAAAGGAATTCATACAAAGACCATGCAAATTATGAAAGTGAATTCAAGCTGATCAACAGCATAGAAAGAGGATTCTTATTACTTCATAAGAATAACTAGAACTTCAATTCTAAGGGTTCTCTGCAAGTGGAGTGGTATTGTGATTCACCACATCTTGAGTTTGATGACAAGTTCAATCTAAGAGGAAGGGAATTTGAAGAAATGAAATAGAGGACTAAACATACATTAGCCTAAAATAGCTGCAATATTAGTTTACAGTTTGGTAATAAATTTGAGTGGTGTATTAGTTTATCAGTGACTTAGAGTTAGTTGACACCCCAAATATAAGGTGCTTCCACAACCTTTTTTTAATGAATAGAGATTTCTAGAAACAAATCCTCTAGATATTCCTCCCAAAAACAAAGCCAAAGTACCCCCAGGCTTGAACCACCTGGCCTAGACAAACATTTCTAATTGAAAAATGTTTAATTCAGGCATGTATAATTTTTTAAAAGAAATTGCTGTTACCGGCTTTGATTAGCAAAATTGTAACACAAATTTAAAAGAGGACAAAAAGGCCACTTAAGACGAGGATTGTATGGAGTCCCACTTAATTAAGAGAAAAGGAAAACGATGTAAAACTGTCACGATCTTCAACAAATTCATATCTACATTAACTAAAGAAAAGTTAATACAATTAGAGGTAAAATAGAGCACACAAGAAAGATACCTCTTACTAGGATATTTGACATGTCATCAAGACTCACCCATGAACATTTAGACTTCCCCTCCTCAGCAACTAGTCGATAAAGCCCCTAACCATTATTGCATGACAAAAACAATGAAAATAAATTATAAGATTGAAGTTTGATAACACAAAAATAAAAAATTTCAAGCATATTATTTTGTAATTCCATCATATGAATGAAATTAAATATTTCTCATCAGATGATAATATTGAAGTACAAAAAGAAGAAAACAAAAGGAGGCTTTTGTCCAGTGAGGCCTTTAGATGGAGATAAAGAATAGAGTTTCAAAGATTTTAAGGATCGTGGGAAGAGGTTTCAACTCTTTCAAGATTTATGCTTCTATTTGTAATTATCCCCTAGGCCTTATCATCTTGAATTAGAACTCCTTTTTCTATTTCTATAGTTGGTTGTTTGTCTCCTTTCGTTGTGCTGCTTTGTATGCCCTTTTGTATTCTTTCATTTTTCTCAATGGAAACCTAATTTTCCATTTATATAAAGAAAAAATATTACAAATAGAATCATTCTTCAATTTTTGTCCTTGATAATTTTTTCAGCCTTCACGCAAAAAGTAGTAGTATAGAAATTTGATATTACTATTCTAGTCATTTCACAATGCATAAAGGCTACAAGCTTCCGTGCGCTCTCATGAAGGCATAAGACTCTCGTGATTCAAAGAAGCCAAAAGATTCAAGGCTAAAAATTTTGGTCTTGCTTGAAGTGAGGTCAATCCATTGGCCTCTAAAGCAGCTATTCTATATGAGCATAGGTTTGAACGAAATCTTAGGATTTTTTAGAGCAAAGGCTTTCAGCATCCGAACGTTTCAGTATTGCGAAATTTCAAGCTTCTCACTGGTGTTCTCTTTCAGATCTATTTGGAAACTAATAACTACTCTCCCCCTCTCATCAACGCCAACTGGGGAACTTTCATTTTCCCCTCTTAATTGTTATTTTCTATGGCTTTTGCTTTGTTTTTGTTTTACTTTGTTTCGTTTCTTTGTTTTCTTCACTCTTTCGAGAGTTTGTATCTTCAAACAATTTTTGTTCCTTTTCATTCATCAATGAAAAGTTCACTTCTTGCTCAAAAAAAAGAAAAAAAAAACATTGATAACTAATACTCTACATTAAAATTAGTAGGAAAGCATTTCTATAATTACTCGGCTTGGACTCAAGGATATCTTGTCTCCCTTCCAATCAAAAAACAGTATCGTCACATTTTGTCATAAGTGAAATATTGATAGCCAAAAGATCCCATTATTACACAATTTCATAGTACATATTTAAAATCAAAACTGCATACCGTGTCTAGTTGTTTAGCAAACCACTGATTCAGCTCCTTTATGCAAGATGAATCCCCAACTAGGTATGGATGGAAGTCGGAGTAAGCCAAATAGATGCCATCCTCTGCACAATCAACCATATACATAACTTGCACAAGTAGGAATCAAACAGAAAAAAGAGAAGGAAGAGAATCTGTTTAAAAGTGAATTAAACTTAGATTATTATACAAGGGAATGGAAGTGAATGTTAAACAAAGCAAATGAAAAAGGCATGCATGATGCTCAAGCTTAGGAGGAAAAGAATTCAGAATTTCTGAAAGGACCTAAGGGTAAAATTGAGAATTTTAAATGATTAAGGACCACATTGAGAATTAGCTAAAAAATTAAGGACCGTAGAGACTAAGGTTGGAGAGAATCCAATGTGGTTTATTCTCATTATTAAAGTCTATATATATAGACAAATATACAAGGTTGACCTAATCCTATAAGGAGAAGGTAAAGGACAAATTAATATTAATACAAGAATATAAAATATACTAATTAATATATATACTCTAACACCGATCTTTAAAAATCCATGCTTCACCTTACAATACAACAAATGACTCAACCATGTAAGTTATATTCTACCTTCTCAAAGATCAAGGTTTCAATTAGTCAAAGTTTTTACTTAGTCCTTATTTTATAGAAAGATTGACAACCTTGATAACTGTGGATTTTCCTGTCTCCCATTAGTGAATCTTATGCTGTAGTGTTTAAGTGACTAAAGGCCATCTGTCCTCAATTGTGTTTCTAAAGAAGATTAGGCAGCTTCTCTAATTTTTTTCAGAAACACGCTTACAACAAAATCAAGGACATACGAAAAAAATGGATGATAAAACATCCTAACCAAACCTACTGAGATAGAGAAATCCCTCTTATTAACCAGAAAAGAAGAGAACAATAACAGTAATTAGACAAAGCACTCCAAGAGGAGACTCTAAAAGACATCAGATCCTATAACTCCTATAAACTCCTCTCCTCTAAAACTTCTTTTTCTCTCTCCAACGACTCTACAAAATTGACAAAATAGCAATGATCCTTCTCACGTTAGCTTCTTCCTTGAACCAATGACCACCAACATCTACAGGTTAAAATCTTATATAGTGGAGGAAAACCAACTGCAGACTAAAACTGGACGGCAATCTATTCCAAAACCCTTGAGAAAAGGACACCAAGTGCCAAACATTTTTAACACAGTTCTACATAGATCGTATCTAGCTACAAGTAAACATGACAAAGGCTTCATCAAACTTTATCTGGGACATGAACCCCTTTCAAAACCAACAACCATATTAACACTTTTCAAGCATTTAAATTTCCAAAACAACTAACCAAGATTGGAGGAGATGTTCTCCTCAGTGACGGTGAGGCTATAGAGAGGGAACTTGGTAATTGCAATAGTATCTGTCTTATCACACACACAGAGTGACATATTTTAAATAGAAGAATCAAAAGAATCAAAATACAAGCCTGAAATTAATTTAAAATAACTAGGCTATCAAGTATATTTTAAAGTGGTAGATAAAACTCATCACTAAAAGTTTTACAAGAACAAATTAAAAATAATACCATCGCCTGAATGATAATGAGCCAACTCTTGGGCTGTGGATGCAATCCTTCCTAGAACTGCATTCATCTAAATTACCAAAAAAGAAAAACAAACAAAAAGAAAACATTTTTAGATGACATGTCTCTGAACAAAATAATTCACCACACACAAATATGACATGGTACAGACACAGCAAACACACAATTATCTAAATAATTGGGCACAAGCATGACAAGGACCCATTAAATAAAATATATTTTTTTCAAAAATTATTGTTATACACTATTACAACTCAAAGTAGCTTGCTCCTTTGGCCCTTTTGGTCTTCCATATTAGCCATCATTTTAAGAGCACTTTCATTAAGGCAAATGAAATACCTACACTAAATAGTCATACAAAAGACCAAGGTCCCACTAAGCATAAAAATTTACATTTATTCAAGATTTCAACTTCAAGAAAGAGGGCGATAACAAGATGAGGATGAAATCATGCAAGAAGGAAAAGAAACACTAACAAGAGAAGTCAAATTTTAACATTTATTCAACATAAAGAGGACCTTATGCAACCATAAAATTTTCATAATAAATATATGTAGCTTCCATTTCTTCTAATTTAATATTTAGTGTTCTTGTAATTCAGTGGTTTCAATATTTACTGAATCTATGCACTTAAATTTTCAAAACTTTGAACCCACCCTTTTCAAAGTTAAATACTAATTTCATTTTAATAGTATTTTATGTTGTTTTTCAATTTGGCTCAATATAAGTTTTAGTTCCTAATGTTTGAGAGTTTTTTCAATTTAGTCTCTATTGTTTAAAAAGTTCAATTTAGTCCTTCAGTTTTACACTTTTCAATATAATCCTTTATTGATTTTTTTTTCTTTTTTAAAAACTGGGAGTCGGAGCTTTGCTCTCCTGTACCCAAGAGCACTCCCCAAGGCCCGGACCCGAGAGACAGCAAGGGTTTTTGGTATTAAACTCACCAGAATGTTAGAACTTGAAACCTCTAAGTCAATATAACCAAAAGACCCCAAGCCCTTGTCAACTGGACTGCCCTTTGGGGCAATATAGTCCTTTATTAATAAATGTTAAAATTTGTTGATGACAAACTTACGCAGCATAATACTTTGTGAATTGACAAAAATTGAAGAACAATATCATCTAAGAGAGGAAAGTTTCTAATTTCTCCTCAAAACTTTAACTTTCAAAAGCATTTATCCGTAAGACTATGATGAAGACAAAACTTGGATAAACACAGCAAAAGAAAGAGCAAACCATCAATCTCTTTTATCATTCAAGAGTCAAGACTCTTCTAAATAAAATTGAAAGAAAGTCCCCATGAGCAAGGAAATAAGAAGCAATAGGGGCATTTCCGGCCTCAATTGCTTCTCCTCCCCGACCTAGATACTCATGTAACTAGACAAAAAAGCCCATTTCAGAAATACCTAAAAAATCCCTTACTAAAATGTTCACCCCATTATTTATATACCTCAAGATTCCTAGCGGAGATGCTATCATCTATGCTTGTTAGTTGCCCATTGACACTAGAAGTTGCAGCAACTCGTGCCCGCCTCCCCTGGGTCAAAGTAGAAGCTTGGCTTGTAAGCATATCATATTGAGACTGGAGATGTCTTAGTTGTCTTTGCAACTCTAGTGCTTCGGATTTATATGCGAGAGTTGCTTCTCTAGCAATATTTGGAAACAAGTTTGTAAAATGTATAAGAGTTAGCAATAAAAATCAAACATAACGGCCAATATTAATAATGTACACAATATGAACTCTACAAGAATAATTGTACAAAACCATGGCAAAGACCACCACATATATGATTTTTTTATTTTTAATAAAAAAACAAACTTTTCATTGATAAATTGAAAAGTCACCTGAAGTTCCAAAGGTAGGCACCAGGGATACAAAAGTACAAATTGCTCTCTTGATACAAATCACAGTTCACACAACCATTCCAGACCAAAACCTGAATCCTCGCAAACCTCCAAAAACAACCACACACTCCCAATTTAGCCCAATTTAATCCTTACAGAGAATTTTCCCACCTAGACAAAATTTTAATGGAAGGGATGGCCATGAACATCTTTATCTAACAAGACCCATCCTGAACAATTTATTGTTGGAACTTCTAAAACATCCTCCCAACTCTTTGTAGCATCATTAGTCATTGAATAGCTTATTATTTATTTCCAACAAAATATTCTACAGTGCTGATTTTACCACATTCATCCACAATTATTTAGCTCTTCCTTTGCAAAATAATCTTCCTATTTGCTCCACGTTCCCCGTCACCAAACCAAAAAACCCAAGACAAGCTTAAGATATGTAATATCGCATTCCAAATCATTCTGCTGAAAGGGCAAGAAGCGAGCAGCTGAATCCATATCTTTGGTTCCCAAATGACACAACACAAACACTGCAACAGGCTAACCATCCCAAATGATCATCTAAGCTGATTTTTTTTTTTTTTGCCATATTTATACTTCCCATACTAGCTGGACATAAAAAAAAAATTATTAAAAAATGCTACTTTGGACGGCCTCATTTCCATATTGTGGAACAAAAATCTTGGTTCAAAACCCAATTATAATCAATAAAACTAATGTAAAGAAATTTAACAGAAAATCTTCCATCCGGCTCCAAAAACCAAACTCTCTTATCATTCCTGATCATTAATACCTATTTTTCAGCAAGTCTAAAATCAGTAGCAACTGACTTTCCTCTTCATCCAACAAACTTCTTGTTGTAATAATATTCCAGTCATTTGTTCTTGAGTCCCAAACATCACTTACTAGCCTGAATTTTAGTTCCACCACCCTACAAAATCTTTGAAACTTGACCACCAACGGTAAATCATCCACCTAATTATCTTCCTAAAATTTAACTATCCACCGTCTTACTTAACTAAACCAATTACTTAAAAGGGAAAAGAGGACATAGAGGTTAAACAGTAAAACCCTCCGAATCTTTATTTTATGTGACTTCCTTAAACTAACATGAAGCTTGGACCAAGTATGCAGAAAATATGAGTCAAAGAAAATGCCCCACGGTCGGAATATTAAATCTAAATGAAGTGAAATGCACACGAAAATAGTGAATGCATACTTCAATCTTTCAAGAACTGAAATCTCGAATAAAAGGTCAATGGAAGCAACACTTAGAGAGTTAATTAATCAGAATGGTACCGTATATCCCTCAGTCCTTCTTCGCCTCCGAAAAGAGCGTCCTGGTTGTCCCGCCTAGACGAAAAGGCCGAAATGCTATCATAAGCAGAATCCAAATCCTCTCCCTGCTCAACACAAACCAACACTTAAAACCGCACAAGTTCCCTCTCTATGGAAAACGATACCATACTGAAAATTTCCAGAGAATTCACCTCCAAAAGCTTCCCCTCTTCCAGGAATTGCCCGTACCTGGGTACCACGAGAACAAAATGACATCCACCGATGAGCAAAATTCAAGCCCATCCCATAAAAACATTCACAAATTAATAGAAACACACAGAGAGAGAGAAGTAACTGGGAAAGCTCGGAAGGGGAGAGGACATTGGAGGGGCGAAGGCTGGAGCAGATCCAATCGAGAATGGAGCGAGCTTCGTCGTACTGAAATGGCCATTCGAAACTGTCTGGATCCAATGCGTGAGCACCCTCATACCCCAAATCGGCGAGCAAAGAGCAGAGCCTCGGCCCACTCATCTGGCTGCTGGATTGGATCCTGCAATTCTTCGCCTCGATCGATTTAGCAGTGAAATTTGAAGTCTGCCGCCCTTTTTCTCCGATTTCGATTTAAATGTCTTTTGAAGAAATGTGAGATTTTCTTCAAAAACATTACTATTTACCGTTCGTTCGTTACATACAGGGTGGGGATCCTTCTCAGAAGATTCCAATTTACTTCGCTCTAGAGTTTGAAAAAAATGGGTTGTAAAATATAATTTCATCTTTGGTTGACTTCAGCCACATTTACTGCCCACGTGAGCATACTTTTTTCATTTTTTTATTAATTAGCATCGGAGCATTATTTAATCGTTGATTATCATGTTTATTTCTGATGAAAATGTCTGAGTTTGAATCTCCCTCCAAACCTTAAATTTAAATCTTAAACTCTAGATACCAATCTTAAAACCTAAAAAATACTTTTTAAAATATAATAATAAATGTAATAGAATGAAAGGCAATTTAGAAATAAATACATATATATATGAAATTTTAGATTTGCAAGTGTTAAAAAATGATCTTTTTGAAATATCACATGGGATATAAACAATTTTTATAAAAGTATTGATGATTTATTTTTTTTTGTTTTTTTTTTTGTGTAAGAAACAATTTCATTGATGTATGAAATTACAAAAGCCTCAAATTGAGGGATTACATAAAGCACTTCCAATTTGCTAAGAGGGAAGTGTAGCTATAGTAATGAAACATAGGGGAGGATTTACACCAAGTAATGACTGTGAATACTATAGCTTCAAAAAAGATATCAAAGGGGAGAGTTTTGTCTGTGAAGATATGTTGATTTCGTTCTCTCCAAAGGTTCCAAAGAAAAGCTCTCATGAAGTTTTGCCAAAGAATTGCCTTTTCCTTTTTGAAGGGGTGTCCTGTAAGGGTAACTTCGAGAAGGAGGGGAGGATCATT